CTTGGGGGCGGGGCTTCTCACGCCACGCCACGCCACGCCACGCCCGCAAGCCCCCTTTATCACCCAGGCACAGGTGTGCCCCCGGGTTAGGTGGGTACTTGGGGGGAGAAGGGGGCTGCACGACTGGCTCAGCATCTGTTTCCTGATTTGGATCTAACTTCAACGTCTCTGCCTCTCATCCCTCCAGGCAACACCGGAAGTACAGCCTAGAAACATGGTCTTCGAGCATCACCACGTCTTTCTGAGTCTAGAAGCCACGCTCAAGCTGCAGACAAGTTCCTTTCTGAGCTCTTCCTCGTTGGAGCCACGACTTGAAAGCACTGCACTCACCTAGAGAACTTGACGTGCTTTTCCCTTCAGACTTGACTATAAATAATTCCCTGGAAAATGAGATACGCTGTTGAAGCGCCTGTTAGACGAGAACTGCACCAGAACAGCCTTTCCACAGGCGTAAAGGACGCACGCGCACTACGCACCTCGGGTGCGAAAGGAGGCTCCCGCGCCGGGACACACACTCTCCCTCCTGCGGCCCTGTCCAGGACCCGGGCGTGGGGGCAAAACGGTGCAGAGGCTCTGCTCATAAGGAATTCCCCCAAGCAGAGAAACCCACTTTCCACCTTACATCTCCGGGTGTTTTCGGTCCATCTTCTTGAGATTCCCATCACTCCAAGCAAAGGCCGGGTTGTAGAAAAACAATGACTTATCCCTGGAATATGGATTAAAATAGAAGAAAGAAGGTCTTGACTTGAATCACTAGGAACTTTCAGATTCTGACTGAGGCTTTAAAATTCCATTAAAACAGATGAACCGACCACTGTGAGACACCCCTTTTCTCTGTCCCCCCAAACCAGCCTCTTTTCTGACCTTTCTTCCTTATGTGAAACCTGGGACCCTTCTCCTCATTCGCACCTTGGGGAGAACGGCGCTAAGATGCAGGCTACCTTTAGGGACAGATCTCCCTTCTGTCCTTGGTGAGGCAGGTGCGTGTGGATGCAGCCCAGGTTCCCGGTCTGCACAGCGCAGGGGGAGTGGCAGTGTGTGTGTGTGTGTGTGTGTGTGCNGGGGGGGGGGGGGGGAGGGGGGAGAACCCCTGGGTTTTTTCCTCAAGCTTTTCCTTTAACAATGTTTTTTTGGGGGTCGCTTTTTAAAGTATTTTCAAGAAAGACCATGAATCATGAGCAGCTTGCAGCAACTCGGGAAGGGCCAAGGGTGCCTGAACGGGAAGCCGGGCCCGCAGCGCGCGTACATGTGTGCGTGCGGCTTCTCAAACAGGCTGCATGCCCGTGACAGACACAGGAGGTCACCGGGCGACGGCAACTGACCTTCCCCACTTTCGGTGTCACGATCACCGACTTCCTCTGAAAAACTGCTAGCAGTTAGTTCTGATGCTTCAAAAAACTTAAAACGAGGATATAAGTCTCCCACTTCCAACTAACAAAACACAGTGAGCCTGCCTGCCTGGTCAGTGTAGACGCATGAGACCTGGACTGTGAGCAAGTCGGTCACCCTGACCTTCCATTAACTGGACATCTGTTCAAGGCAAGAGCCGACCAGAGGGGGCGGACCTGGGGGGCCTGAGGACAACCCCTGTCCACTGAGGGATGGCCCATGTGCGCTCTGCCCGTGTGGGGAAGACGTGGAACGGACTGAACCCGAGTGGGAGAGGGAATAAAAGCTATGGACAAAAGCAGAAAGTGCAAGGTATTTATTAACATATCTTTCAAATTACAATACAGTTCAAAACACATTTCTTGGCATGGAATCACACAGATGATACACACAGATACATTTTTTCCAACTATGTCACAACTGTTCTTCACACATATTCCTGATAAAGCTGTCACAGTGATTAGCACAAAGTGGAAAACGGGGTAAAACAAGGCAACATCCCCGCCCACAAACGTGAGTGGTGCGCTGGGTGGAGACATGGAGCAGATCACCCAGAAGAAAGCCACTCGCTCAGCTCTTGATTTCTCAATCCCAGTGTGCGCCCCACAAACACAGCTGCAGACGCCACGCCGAGCCGGCCCAGGCTAGCTCGCGGCACTTAGCAATACGCTTAAGAAGGATCACAGCCAGCCAGAGCGGCGACAGAGCCCAACGGGCCGTCGCCTCCCAGCAGAAGAAGAGGCGCGCTACCACTAACACTGACGCATGCAAGAGAGGTCCTGCAAAAGGAGAGGGGAAGGAACAGAGGGCTGGTTAGTGCGCCGGGCATGGCCCGGCCTCCACGGGGCGCCGCCCCCGGGGGAGACTGCAAACAACAGAACCCAGAGGTTACTCTCGCCAGCCGGAGACCTGGGGGAACAAACCGAGAGTCAGACCTGTCAAAGCAAAGGTTGAGACGACGCAGCACAGGCAACTCGCGAGCGGAACTCTGAACGCCAACACGGGACAGCATGGCCAAGACGGAGTCACCAGCAGCGGCGGGAGGAGAGAATGGTCAGCCGGCAATGCAAGTGAGAGAAGGGCATGCTTCTGAGGACGGTGGGGGTGGGCGTGGCAGGGAGCCCCGAGGGAAGAAAGGGGTGCGCGGGAGGCTTGGCTGACGGGGCCCAGACACTCAGCAGCAGGAGCGAGGCCAGACTGGGAGCCCAGCAAAGAGAACCAGCTCAGAAATGAAAGGGGAAAAAAAAAAAAAAATCAGATTTCAGGCTGTGTTGCTGGTGAACCTGAAAATTAAACAGCAGAATTAAAGCCTTAGAGTTAAAATCCTCACAGAGGAAAAAACAATTCTGGATCCCACGCCTGTGAAAAGCAAAGCTAAGTTATCAAAACAAGCGGTTATTTGCTCTTCGGTCAATAGTTATAAATGTGTGTCCTATAAATGCTGCTTTAAAAACATAAATTATATACCCTGAGACAATACTGCAGAGAGCACAGAACTTAAGACAGTCCTTTAAAAATCAGGTTCCATTACGTGCCCTTAAAATGAAAAATAGTTTAAAAGAAAATCATGCTAGAAGAATGTCAAGAGATCTACTTTCTAGAGTATATTAAACTACTAAATACAGAATATATATTAAAACAGTACATCTGTTTGTCTACTCTGTGGAAAGTTATTAAAATTCAAAGACTACAATCATATTTCTTTTTAAAGGCCTGTATTTTTCTACATACCTTTCAAAATTAGTAAGGTAAAGCACCAACATGAAGGCCTTTTTACATTTTAGTTGGCTAAAAGTGAAAGCAAGCAGCAACTTCTCACTAAAAATACCTGTTCTGCCTGCTCACCTTAATGAAAAGACTTCCTAACAAAAATACAGCACAGAAAAGAGAGCTAAGATTTTTTTGCACATTTTCTAAAAAGAGCAGGTTTTTACACGTGTAAAACCAAAGACCGTTCCCCACCAAACACTACCAGCAGGTATACCCGGGATCCAATATGAATCACTGAGTTGCTTGGTTCCAGGACAAAGAACCATGGGCCCTTTAAATGAGGAAAATTAAACAGGTTGCAGAAAAACCTTACACAAAATCCTTAGGATTTAATAGTAAGTCAAGGCTCACTGCCTTTGCAGAGTTCATATTTACCGATGTCCAAAACAACACATCATTCACATGATTTAAAAGGAGGTGAAAAGGCTAATTTAAATGCTCATTAAGTACAGCAGAATATCTACATTCTCCCTGTAACGGATGTAATTCCTATGGCTTCCTCCAAGGGGAGAGGGGTATCTCCTGGTCCCATTTGGTATCATCCACCCCTTCCATTAGTTAATCCCCTTTCAGAATACTGTCACTTAGAAAAACCTGTAAAAAAATCAACCATGCCTTTCAAGCACCCCACCCCCTCCCAACCAACATAGACAAAGGAGCTGGGGGGCGGGGGGGCGGGAGAGCACGCAGGCGGGGGCGTGGCCTGTCTGAACACGCGGGTAGAAGTAGGGCTCCCGGTGGGGTGCAGCCGGGGGCGGGGGGCCACGCTGCCACTCCAAGGTCTGGGGGCCGGAAGCCAGGGCACTCGGGGGCTCCACACCTCACGCGTGGCTCTAGGCGCTCTGCACAGACCTCGACCAAAACCTGACTGTCCTCATCAGGGTCCCTGGCAGCCAATGGTCCATAAGCACACTGAGCTTACCTTCAATTAAACAACAGAGAAATTAAAACACAAACAACAACAAAAACTACAAAAGGAAAAAAAAAAAAAAAAAAAAGGAAGGAAGTGACAGGTTCTCAGGACAACTTGGCCCTAAGTCTCCTCCTCTACTCTCCAGACCAGCCAGCCAGGCCTCCTCTAGCCCACCAGCTCAGCGGTCCACTGCGTGCAAGGTGCGGCCCTGGCGTGGCGGTTGCCGTGACCACCACCCGCCTGCCCACGGCTGCCCGCCCGCCCCAGCTGACTCCTCCTCAGCGCCGGGCATCAGGACCAGGCTCCTGGCCGACCCTGCGTGCTCCAGCTCCCTTCACTCCATCCTGTCCTTATTCACCCTGGTCGCCTCTCCCAGCCTCCCTCAGCAACAAAGTCTACTTGCATCATTCAGCAAAACGCCCTTAAAAAAAAAAGAGAGATCCCTGAGTGCAGAATCTACAGCTCTGTCACAATTCAGAAATGCTACAGAACTAAGCACAAACAATTGTTCATTCAGGACCTTTTACAAATCATGAGGAGACCCCAGCCAGAAACAGTTACGATGAAGCCCCCCGCCCCGCTCCCCACCCCCACTGCGGAGAAGGCACAGGCCCTACTGAGGGTGCTGCCCGGCCAGAAAAGGCGGAACCCTCAACAATGCTTTCGGAAAAAAAAGAGCTGGTATTTCTCCTTTAGAAGAGTATCATGTAAGACTTAACAGATGTGGCCAGACCAACGGAAATGCAAGATTATGCTCAGTAAGTAGCTAAGTGAACTTATATTACAGCATTAAAATCAAAACAAGATAATGCGAAAAGAAAGGGTACCTGAGCTCCACATAATCGCTGTCTTTACCTTATGAGATATAATGATATTTACTGGCTTCTTGAATTTGTGAACAAATAATACACAGATCAGGATAAATGTATTGACTTACTACCATCTTTATAAAAATCGAATATACACACAAACACATCAACATTATGGAACTGTATCCATTAAACTTTGATAAGACAACACAAAAGAACTAACAAATAGCTACGATGTTGCTGAATTGAAAGCACTTCCAATAACGTTTTAATTTTAAAAGGTCCATATTTACATAGTGTGTTAACTGCTTCTGCATCTCACTTTAAATGCATGATAAATAAAGAACAAAGATAATGGTTGCAACAGATCTTCCCAGAGGGTTCAGCGTGCGGTGGGCTGATCGCACTGCACTGCACGAGGTGCACAGGATGGGAACGGCGCTCCCTTCTAATTCTGCTTCCTTCCTTTCCCAGTTTCCTCAAGGAAACCGAAGCTGCGTCCCCAGGCCTGGCCGGCTCTGACAGCCCATGCCCACGGGCTGTGTGTGTCAGGAGGCGACCATGGGGAGCCTATCTAACCAGGCCTTGACAGAAGGCCTGGCTGACTTAGCCAACAGCCATTCAAGAACATTCCATCCAGAGAAAGTGTGTTCCGGGTGTGTGCAGACAGTTACAGATGCACACATGTCCCAGGGCACCATGTCGGGCTCAGACAACACAGAAGCAGACCTTAGGGTAGCTATGAGGTCCGCCGTGAACAAAGGTGCACAAACAGGATTCGTTTGTTATCACTAACTAGAAAAAAGTATGCCTAGCTACATTATGGAGACAACGAGCAGATTTATAGCTTCCAAGTCACAGCACGCTCAGACTGTTTCCAACGGTGGTAAAATCGGTAGGCTCACTGCGTCATCAAGCCTTCAGCAAGCCCCTTAACTGTGAGCCTCCTGCCGCCCAGGGAGGGGAGGTGGCCTGGACCCCCCGCATGGCACCTGCAGTACCCCACTTGCAGCTTCAACCCAGCTCTCTGTGGACTGAGCCACACGAGGTGAACACACCTGCATCTACTTGTAAAGACGGGCAGAGGGGCGGGCGCGCCAGTCGCCAGACGCTCCACTAGAGCACCTGGGGCCAGGCAGGTACAACCACCAGCCCCCACGGGTGAGGCAGGGCTTTCTGGAGCGCGGGTGGCCAGGCGCCCCCAGCGAGAGGTAATCTACAAGTGCCTACAGCTTCGTGTGCACTCTTCGTGCAGCCTTTGAGCAGCGGCCATCAGCACCCACCTTCACGTTGCAGGCTCCCTCCTAGCACGTGGAGCACTGTGGAGTCAGCGCTACAGAGGCTCACGGGTCTCAATACTCCCCTCCAGTTCTGGTGACTTAATTTGAAAAACATAAAATTTCAACTGTGAAAACAAGAAGATACAAAATCACATGACCTGTGTCTCAGCTCCCCACGAGAAAGCTGAGAAAGGGGCGCCCCGCTGAGGGGTCTCACTGTGCTGACTAGGGGCGCTAACCAGCAACAGGCGTCTGTTTCCCTTAATTCTACTAATAAATGTGACAGGAAATCTTAGGTATAAAATTCAGCTAAAAAGTCTGAGTATGCCCCAGTTGCCATTTGCTCCAATAGTTCAGGCCATGTTAGAATAAACCCAAACAGTGAGACTCCTTCACGAGCACAAATACTTTAAGGCACTTTTGTCATCGTTTGCCCAGAACGAATTTTACTGAAGATGACTTTACAGGGAGCGAGCATCTCACCTGAATGAAGCTAACCCGCATCCCCGAGCCGCCCGCCCACACGCCCGTGCAAACAGCCCCCTGCTCTGGGGTCCACTGAAGGACAACGCAGCCCTGCTCAAAAGGCCTTCAAAGAAGAAAACGCTCGTCACAGCAGCGATAACCAGGTTTCCCAACAGAGTCACGTATGTATCACAGAGCCAGTGACGTGACTATGCCTCTTGGGGCTGTGTCTAAAAAGGGGAAAAAACCAAACACACCCTTTCAAGCTTCTGGCTGGCCTACCCTCACTCAGTGGGGCCCCTAGCCTGCGCTCAGCCTGGGCGGGCTCACACCGGTACCCACCAGCATCTCCATGCTATCTGGGCAGCGTGGAGAAAGGGGCGTTCTCTCTGGAACTGGGCGTATTACAGCTGGCGCTCTGGGAATATTTACAAGAAGCAGAATCTGCTGCACCACTGACACCACTCCCAGCCACCCGCATACCCTGCTTCCCAGGATATCACCACCCGAATTTGCCTCTGCATGTTCACAAGAGCCCTGGCGGGCCTTCTGAGAAAGGAACGCGCGTGGAGGCGGGTGAGGAGACACTCGTCTAGCCTGCACTGAAGATAAGTGCAACCATTATCAAATGTTCTTTGCTGTGAAAAATGCTGAGAATCTGTGACGGTGATGGTCTCTCCTGACCCTAGGTCACTGGACTCGATCATACAGTAAGATCACAAAGAACAACGTCTACATGCATTGTAAGCACTTGGAAAACAAAAGAAAATGGAACTGTAGTTCTTTGTGGTGCCAACAGAACGTGAACGCTCTAACAGCGACTCGAGTCTGCCACGTCCCGCAAGTCCAGCTCTTCTGGAATTGGTGCTGGGCCGTCGGGCGCCTTGGACAACGGCCTGGCAGGGCTGTGGACGGAGAGACGGCTCGTGGGGCCTCTGCGCGCAGCTCCGGAGGAGTTCCACAGTGTGTGTGCGGCGTCCCGGTCAGCCCGTCCGCAGTGGTCACTCGACAATCAGGGCCACGTTTATGTGGGACAGGTCTATCATGTGCCTGCGGGAGGTGGCACAGCGCGCACATGAAGCCCCCCCGCCCCCCGCGGACCCGGGGGGCCGCCCACGGCACACTCCGCAACACGTCCTGCAGCCGGCCTGCCCCCCTCTGGCCCCAGGGACTCCACGCTACCTGTGGAACTTCTGCTGGAACGCCAACGCGTGTGCTGGCTCCTTGAACTTCGCTATGGCTTTCCGCTGCTGGGGGAGCATCTGCAAGCTCTGAAGGAAGAGGACAGAAGCGCATCAGAGCCAAGCTGTGCACCAACGTACATGCCGGTCCATTGGGGTTAACACGAGGTTCCAGTCCACGCAGACGGCAGGTCCCTGAAACAAACCAGCTAATCCGAGCTCCCTGTCCAGATGGCCCCATGCCTGCTGTAAGCAGCATTCAGCACCCTCCAGGCTTGGTGTGAAGACCTTCCTTTGTTCGCCCGTCAGCTGCCCCTGCTTCCCTCCACCTGCTCACGCAGACCTGGGGCAGTCCTTGGAGACTCCCTTCCCATCAGGCGACGTTCCCCGGGCCCTGCTCACACAGGAGACACAGCCAGCCAGGGGCCCGGGGCGGAGGGGCGGCGCTCCCCCGAGGACCACTGGGGCAGACCCAGGTCCTTGCACAGAACAGGGCTGCCAGCCGGGGGGCTGGGACTGGGGCAGCCCTCGGCCCCGTCTGCTCAGTCTGCACTTTACAATGTCGGGGGGCATGAAGTGGAACCTTAAACTGAATCCTAGGATGTGAAACACCATTTCCGAGGCTACTCTCCGGAGTGAAGACCAGAGGCATGTGTGGAGCGGATGGATCTGTCTAGCGAGGAGACCAGTGCCAGGACCGTGAACGGACAGCTGGTCCTCATGCCTGCCCCAAGGATGAGGGCAGCTCTGTGCTCCCCGGGGGCCTGTGGACAGAGTACTCTAGAATTTGGGAGGGACATGCCGAAGGAGGACTCGGATTTCTCAGCTAGCCCGCTCTCCAGAGTCTGATCCTTCTCAAGCATTTTGGTGACTTGCCACGTGTGTCTGGGGCAGTGAGCGAAGTGTCCGGTGAGGAGGGGGCGGCGGAGACCTTGCTCCCTGGAGGACCCGACCCGAGGAAGCCACACGGGACTCGGTGGCTGAGAACTGTCTGCTGTGTCTGGGCTACTGTCCAGTGAAGTACAGCAGCCAGAAACAACCAACAGTAACACACCACCCTTTACAAGGGTTTACACATGTGGTGGTTTCATTTTAAAGCACTTCTTCAAAGACTTCCAACAGAAGTACCTAGCCAAAACATCAATTCTCTGAAATACATTCAAAAAGATATGCTGTGGCACTCTCCATTCTCATAAGCACAGAACTTCCACGAGTAAGCACAATGAGGAGAGCACCAAGGAAACACTTTTTCCAAAACGTTGCTCTTCGGTGCTTACCCAGAAATGAAGTCTCCAGTGTTCAGCTGACGCGGCACCAAGGTTCACACCAGCCCCGTGGAGGGGCGGTCAGCTCACCCAGCATGCCACCAGGCGACGCTGACCAGCACCAGGACCAGGACCCCGGGAGGCAGGGTGGCCACCGGCAGGCTCACCTGCCTGGTCTTCTGACACCAGCTGAGCAAATACCAGATTTACCTCTTCTGTCAGATACAAAACCCAGGAGCAGAAGAATTTTCTTGAAAATTTCACTGATCACTAAGTTCACTGGACAAAGTGAAGTCGCTCAGTTGCGTCCCATCTTCGCGACCCTGTCAACTGTAGCCTGCCAGACTCCTCTGTCCATGGGATTCTCCAGGCAAGGATGCTGGAGTGGGTAGCCATTTCCTTCTCCAAGTAAAGCTGGACAAGTGAAGCTCAACAGCCTGGTCTTTAATCAGTGCTATCAACTAACTTCACTGGGACACACTGGGAGCACACAGCCTTCCTGGCTTCTGAAACCCACCTGAATTACTCGACAGAGACCTGCCGGCCCAGCTTTCAGCACACACCCACTCTGTCTTCTCCTCCAAGCACCTCCACCTGCTGACACTCTAGAACTGCCTCCGAAGACAAGAGGCAAGAGGAAGCACCGTGCTGTCCCGGGACCCGTGGAGCCCCGAGGGCAGCGTGGTAGGAGCTATCCTCCGGTCACGAGGACAGCCCCGCATCGCAGCAGACGCCCCGCCAGGCCCGCCTCCTGACTCACGCCACGCAGCTGCAGTGCTCAAGGGCACCGGGCACATGGGCACAGCGTCGTGCCAACTGCTGCCAGCACCACAGCAGTTCTCCGCACAAGAACCACAGCTTACCTAGACTTATTCTATTGAAAACTACAAAAATCACTCAATTTGCAACAGACAAGGAAAACTAATTTGTTATGATGGCACAAATAATTATTCGCATTCTCCGATTCAGAGATGGAATCTGGATTTTGAAAACACCATGCTCCTCTTCTGAGAAAAAGCATGCTGAGACTGTATTTCCTCTGGGTGACTTCACAATGTGGAATGAAGTATGATGCTTCCTGTTTATCACTTATTATATAAAATGGTATCTGAGCTAAGAAGATTTGTTTCTCTGTATCTACCTGGTTTAAAGCTCAATTTGACTGAGAAAATATCAATCGAAAGAGCTAAACTTTCAATGAAATTCTTAAATCACAGGAGTGAGCGCTTCTCAGCAGTCAACGCCAGCAGTAAGAACACCACCTTATGAGCTGCTTCTCAGCAGTCAACGCCAGCAGTAAGAACACCACCTGAAAATCTGCTTTCTGCTCCCTTTATTGGCATTTCTGTGCTTTCCCCAAATACAGAGGCTATTTTCAGATAAAAGATTAATAAACTGCCAAAACTGTCAATATTTAACCATTTCTGACCTACCAAAATGACAAATATTAGTGATCACTCTACTGGGAAGAGGGAAAAAGATACTGTGTACTATAAACTAAAAGGCATGTATTATGACCACCAGCTTCCACTCTGAAAATACGTCCCGCAAATCAGCAGCCCATTTCCAAATAAGTAAGCACTTTAATTCACCCAGAACAAACTGAGAGCTAAAGTCTGTCTCCATTCAATACTCTCTGACCCTGCGCAGCTGCCCCACAAGCACCTGACTGGCCCATGGAGACAGGCTGACTTGCCCAGCCCACCCAGGTCCACTTTCATTTCACAGAGACGCCTGCAGACAAGTCCCGAGAACACACGCCATGATGCCCTTCTCGTGGCGGCTTCCTGCGTGTGTATTCAGTGACCCCTGGACTGAGCTGCCACAAGCACTGCAGGGACAGCAGAGAGTTTAAGGCCAGAAAATTGTCCATGCTGTTCTGGGCCTCTTTTCCCTGTTTAGGGAAAGTTCCTCCTCTTTCCAGGAAGAGCCTGAGTTCGTGTCTGTGCATATAAATAAATGACAATGCTGGGGGGACGCTGAAGTGAACCCGCCATCCTGAAAATCACTTAAACTACTCTCTCTAGTCTAGCCAACAGTTCCCAGTACCTTCAGGAACTGACCTGAAGCCAAAACTGATGGTGATATTTGGTGTTTTACACACACACGAAAGTGCTCAAACAGAGCTCCAGGTATAATCACCAAATTTATACTGACAATGGTCCCTGGGCAGGCCGGGCCTCACGGGCAGCTGGGGGCCCCCCAGAATGTGCCGGGGCGGCGGGCCTGCTCCCATTCCAGCTCTCCTCCCCAGGGCCGCAGCTGGGCTGGAGTGCAGGGACAGCGCCCTCTTCATTCTGCATGGGTCGCCTGGCCCTCTCGCTGGCAATGGGCGTTTGGAACAGCGACTCTGGTCTCAGACAGCTCAGCCACATGCTGCTTCCTCTTCACATTCACACGAGATGTGGTCTCGATGCCGAGTCTGTGTCTTTTCCTCAGTTCCAATGTCTGGGCTTCCTCTCACCCAAAGCATAAGCGCTATTCCTTCTGCTCTGACACAGTTGAGAGACACTGAGGCTCCCCTTCTGCTCTCATCTCCCTCTTGTACAAACTTACCCTACATATCACAGCCCTCAGGTTACCACGCACTCTGCCTGGAATCCTCTTTTTTGGGAGAATTACTTACAATAGTATTTTCAGAACTCTGTGTGGGAGCCTCTGGTTAACAATTTTCCCATCAAAGTTTCAGATCATGTGGCCACACGGGTTTTCTTTAAAGCTCAAAACATCAGTGTGGGGAACGTCTACACTTCTGAATAGTCACTGGAAGGAGTGATGCTGAGGCTGAAGCTCCAACACTCTGGCCGGCTCATATGAAGAACTGACTCACTAGAAAAGACCCTGATGCTAGGAAAGCTTGAAGGCAGGAAGAGAAGGGTACGACAGAGGATGACATGGTTGGATGGCATCACTGACTCAATGGACATGAGTCTGAGCAAGCTCTAGGAGTTGGTGATGGACAGGGAGGACTGGCGTGCTGTGGTCAATGGGGCCGCAAAGAGCTGGACACGACTGAGGGACTGAACAGCAACATTTAACTACACCTAGTGTTTTCTTTCCCAAACGTACTCAACTTCAGAATGACTGAACTTCTTCCACTGAGATCCTGACTTCCTCCAGGTCACCCCAGACACTCCTGGTCCATCAAAACCAGAAGGCAGGCAGGAGGGCTCCTCACAAGAGCTGAGAAACTCCAACACAATCCCACCTCACACGATGGCTCCAAGGGGCTCCTCCTCACCGGGTAACCCATGATACCCCCAGAACAAGGACATCCCCAGTACCTGCACCCCGGAACAGCAGTGCTGACAGCCTGAAGTGACCCCAGAGACCTCGCGCTGGGACGACGGGCCCCTTTCGAGAGCACACGCTGTCCCTCTATGGCGCCTGGAGGCCCCATGTTTCCTTCACCCCACATCCGCAGTAACTCCAGGGGCGGGGGCGGAGGCAGAGGCAGAGACAATACGTGCATTACTGTGTGGGTCCTGGGGGAAGTCCTTGGCTGGGGAGCCACACCCCAAGAAATGGCAAACTTAGAACCGAGACAGAATCCTTCTCAAAGCCTGACGCCCACTGCCCCGCTGCGTCCTGGAGGGCCCGGCAGCTGACGAGGTTCACCTGTCCACAGAGTCCCCAACCACCACCACCCCCACCCCCACCACATTAAGCCAGCCGTGCAGTCTCACTCCGCCCCGGTCTGCCTGTCCCTTCCCTCAGAGCAGGAGCCCTGGCATGGTGGAGGGGCAGACAGGCTCTTCTCTCTGCTTCTTCCCATACCACTGCTAGCGGGCACCAGGCAGGGCCTTCTGGTGCAGGCACCACCGCGTGCTTTCAGGGCACACCGGTGCCAGGTGGCGCCATAGCCCAACCCACCAGAGGCTTGACATCTGCCTCTCCTGCAGCCAGGAGACCTGGATCTCCTTACCACCCCCTTGAAGTGTATTTACAGTTAAACCACATCCGAGTCTTGTTATAAGCATCTTCTCACAATTTAAACTCACCAATATCAGTCTTCAGCTATCTAATGCTGGCAAAATGTTACATTAGCACTCTGTGAACACAGTGCTTACAGACCTGTGAACGCCCCTCAACACCATCCCTCGGGACTAAGACTGGCAAGGAGAGAGGGGTGCTGGCTCCTTGGGACCCTTGGGATGGCCCACAGGCCCCAGTGGGTCACCCTTGTGACCCAGTGAATTCCGGTGGCATTCTAAGGGCACCTGATGTAACCACTCTTATCTTCCTGCCTTCTTCTCTAATAAAAAGCAGCTTTAAATACCCAATACCCAGTATCAGTTTTGCTCCACTTCAATAAAGTGCCCTCCATTAAACTTTAACACAATGATTCGCTAATCATCCTTTCCAGAACAGGAGAAGGAGAAAAAATAAATAAATAAAAGGCAAATGGAAAGATGACTCCCAAAATGCAGAACTCAAATTTCAACTTTAAGATGGATGTAACCAAGGGGAAGTGCTTCGGCAATGTAGCCAAGCTAACTTCTGCAGGTGCGTTGTGCAGTGCTGTGAGCAGCAACGGCTCTGCCATCACACGCTGATCCTGATCACAGACTCGCACTCAAGGACGCACAGGAGAACCATCATGACCGTGGGGCAGGAGCACAGCCCAGACGGCCAGAGGTCACACATGGAGAGCAATGGCACCACGCCTCCCGCCCAGACACAGGACGGGAGCCAGCCAGGAGCAGGGGCCCAGGGCACAGCCTGGACTCACCACCCACCCCACCCCGGGGTCCCAGGCTCACTACGGTACTGTGATCTGATCCCCGGTTTTCAACTACCACTTGTTGGAGAATCTCCACTCAGGAGACCTGTATTTTTAAAAGCATCGTAAGCTCTCTGACGCCAGCTGTGTTCCTGCGGATTAACCCATTCTATGATGGACTGTCCAAGAACAGCTCCCCGTAGACACAAGTTTATCGCGTCTGATGACCGACAAGCCGCTCCTCAAGAACTCAAGGATAATTTGAGGACTTCAAAGGATAATTTGTTCAGCTGGAATAAATAGTTCATGAAGTTTCTGAACACGTGAAAAACTCCAAACACTAATCCTCAGGGAAAAAGTTCTGGTACCAAGTGTGCACAATGAGAAAACATTTGGCTTTCTTCTCAGGGATTTTAAAGAACTGAGTCTTGGGAGGGAAAGATGGAGGGCACAGACCACACGCGCAGGGAGGCGCACCTGGATGGGCCCCACCGACGTCAGCAGGCTCTTCAGCTGGGCGTCAGTGGTGGACGAGGAGAGCCCCTCCACAGACACGACGCAGGGCTGAGGCTTGCACTCCACCACCCGCAGGTTCTGCTTGTTGGGCATCAGGCGTCCCCGGCCCATCGCTCCTGCCAGGCCCCGGCCTCTCCCGTGCATGAGGACCTGGCAACGACAGAAGGAACCGTTCAGGTGTTACACTCTGGGTCTTCTCACAGCTACCAAGACACAGAGTGAGCAAGTCAGTCAGAGTCCACTAAAATACACCACGAGCTACAGGATTCTCTGTAGCTTTTATCTACTGTCAGAAAAGGCTTGAATGTCCGAACAGGACCATGGCACCCAGCACGCTCGCGTGGAGAGGGGGAGAGGGAGCGGTGCAGGCTTGGTCAGCCTGGGCATCAAGCACGGTGCCAGCTGGGCACCTTACATGCCACTATCGACCTGCTCACACGGGCACCCCAGACACAAAGCAGCAGGATCACAGGCTCCAGAAACACGCTCGGCTGACACAAAGGCTGGCTGTGCTCCTGGCAGGTGTGTGTGTGTGTGTGTGTGTGCGCGCGCGCGCGCACGCAGTGTGCAGGGTCAGTGAACTTGTGTGGCACCGCCCCTGCTGGCTGTGCTCCTGGCGGGGTGTGTGTGTGTGTGTGTGTGTGTGTGCGCGCGCGCAGTGTGCAGGGTCAGTGAACTTGTGTGGCACCGCCCCCGCTGGCTGTGCTCCTTGCGTGGGCTGTGTGTGTGTGTGTGTGTGTGTGTGTGTGCGCGCGCGCGCAGTGTGCAGGGTCAGTGAACTTGTGTGGCACCGCCCCCGGCCAGCTCCCCACCACTGCCGGCCACGGCAGTATCCATCCTGAAAGGCAGATTCTGCAGCAAGGGTCCCCACCCGCCCCCATCCCACCCCACCCCACACAACACTCCCTGGCAGGGCTTTCAAAGCAAAACCAAAACCCTAACTACAGCAACTAAAGACCCTCAAGTGCACTATCTGTGCGTACAGCTACAGTGGGGGGGCCTTTCCTCAGGTCTTTCTCATCATGTATCCAGGGATAACACCCAACTTAAGGAAACTCAGACTGGAACATTCTCTTTTTTTTTTTTTTGGAACATTCTTTAAAGCTTTGCCCCAAAGGTATGATGAGTATGACCATGTGGGTGCCTCTCGCAGCACAGACAGACAGTTCTGCTTGCTCCTGCACCATACGGTATTTATGAGATAATACACGCTAAGGGATTTAAACCTTTCAAAGACCTAGGCTTGTCTTCACACTAACATTACTCCTTAGTGTCAGCAGCAAGACCGGCAGAGGAGGGACTGGCAGGGTCGAGTGCTTCCAGGAGAACTCAGAGCAGGCGTCTGCGCTCCTCTGCTCCCGTGTGCGGCTTTCGGGCAGAGAGGAGCGCCTGGGGAGGGCCATGAAGACGCTCCCCACTAGAAGGTGCAGGGAGGGGTGCCAGCACGGGACATGATGGGGCGTGGCGCACACTCCTCTCCCAGAAAGGTGGCCACGGCTCTCATCTCATGGAGTTGGGACAAGGCATGCCTCAGTGCAGAGAGAACCGCGCGAGAGGCACTCTCTCGGGCAGGGAGCTTCACCCCGAAGGCTTCCCGTCTGTGAGCAAGGTGCCAAGGAGGAAACACCTGAGGAGCCTCTGGGGGAGCAGCTGGGAGGGCAGGGGCCATGCAGGGCTGCACCAAGTGCGCGCCAAGCTGCAGAGACGCCGCACCCGGCTCCTGGTGCACGCCCAGAACCGCGCTGTGAAGTCAGGGAGGGACGCGCGCCTGTGAGCATGGCAGCTTTCAGACCCAGGGACAGGGGAAGCCCTGCTCCTCGACCCAGCCTCGTCAGGCACCCCCACCAGAGCACTCCCAGGGGCGGGGCTGGGCCGCACCTTCTTGGCCGGGTGGATCCCCTGGATGCTCTTGATGCCTGGCGGGCCAGCTGCGTGCATGTGGGCACCTACCGCAGGGTGCTGGGGCTGCTGGAGGGCCCCCTTGGTCAGCGTCACCTTGCGGGCGGGCTGCTGCCTCACTTCTGGGGCCTGAGGGAGCCGCTGAGGCTGGCCCTCCGGGTGAAAAAAGCCATCGCTCTCTCCTCCCTGCTGAAACAGACAAGGCAGCACGCTGGTCAGTGTCTGCACACGCAAGTCTCCCTCCCCAGCATCGGGGTCCACCTCGATTAGTGCTCAACCAAAGGGCGAGACCACCCACCTGCCATCTCATGAGGGCCTAAGGAAAGGACATTCTCACCTGACAGGTGTTAGGGTTAAAGAGTCTTTATCAAGTTTAAGTCTAAGACTTTTAATTAGTGGATCCACTCAAGAGGTCTGTAATTATTAAAGTAGGTCCTCTTTAGTTCAATGAAATACTGCTTAACTTTAAAAATAGTTCATACTTGACATGCCTCTTCCATTGTCAGGAGCATCCTTGTGAAAATCTGACAGTATACATCAGCAGTTGCTTTAAACTTTTAACCCCCCTTCAAACCTCATGGAAGTGGATCATCTTCCTGACCGCCCCCGGGTGCACCCCAGCCCGTCCCCCCTGCAGAGACAACCCTCAACCATGGGGCTCTCCACAGCACCCACAGGCTGACAGCACCCAGTCACCCCTCCCCTCTGAGTCACAAGTCCCCACATGCGTGCTGGCCTCTGGCTCAGTCCTGTTCGGGACAAAAACAGACCAGCTGGGAATCCACAAAACGGTGTGAGGAAATTCTAGAAATCAAGAGTCACTGGAGGCCTACACAAGCCCCCCGCGGCAGACAGGGAACCGAGGGGGAAGCAGGGAGAAAAGCTGAGCACCGCAGAGTGGGGACCGCAGGGCCGAGGCCAGTCACTGAGCTGGGGGTGCCACGGCCGCTGGCCCAGAAATCGGGCTCGGAGATGGAAAGGAGAACAGACCCTGAACAGAAGGCATTCTGAATGAAAGTAAAAATACAGCACATCAGAATCAAGGGGCTGCAACTAAAGCAGTGACATCAGGAAGGAAAAGAGATCTACAGTCAACAACTTGACCTGTTACCACAAGAAACTAGGAAACCAAACCCAAAATTGAACAGAAGGAAATAAGATCACAGAGAAAAACAAGGACATAGTAAACAGAGAAACAACCAGGAAAAGTCAATCACTCCAAAAGTTGTATTCCTGAGACCAATAAAACTGATAATCCTTTAACTAAACTAAGGAAAAGAGAAGACACAAATTGCCAAAATCAGGAATAAAAGAGGGATTATCAAAAGTGGCACTTCAAAATGTAAAATAATCTTTTGAACAACTTTGTATCAACAAAATCAGGGAACTTAGATGAAATGGACAAATTTCTTAAAAGATGTGCTATGTGCTCAGTCACGTCCAGCTCTGAGACCCCATGAACTGCAGCCTGCCAGGCTCCTCTGTCCACGGGATTTTCCAGGCAAGATGCAAGATACCAAAACTGATTCAAGAAGAAAGAGAAAATCTGGAAATCTAAGACAATGAATCAGTCATTAAAAACCTTCCACAAAGAAAAACCCAGGCCCAAATGGATTCTCTGGTGAATTCTATCAAACATTTAAGACAGAAAGACTACCAATTCTACACACTCAGAAGGCAGAAGGGGAGGAACAACTTTCCGACTCATTTTTGAAGCCTGTTTTTCTGGGATACAAAAGTCAAAGACAGAAAAGAAACAAAAGCCACAGAAGAATATCCCTCATAATAAATATGTATGTATATATATGAAAAAAATCCTCACTAAAATGTCAGCAAGCTAAATTCAACAACAGAAAAGGATCATACACCATAGCCAAGTAAGATTTATCCCAGGAATGCAAGGTTGGTTTAACACTCAAAAACCAATTTACAGACCACATCAGTGGAGGAAAAGACCATATGACCATCTGCACTGATACAGGAAAAGCATTCATAATGAAAATTCTCGATGAACTAGGAACAGAAGGTCTTTTGTCAACCTGAAAAGGACATCTGCCAAAACCGAGAGCTCACACCACCCCTGGCCTGAGACTGGTAAAGGGTCTCGACCTGCACGTCCGTCACCTGGGCAGCTTTCAGATGTTACTGTTCCTGGGCTTTAGTCCAGAGCCACTCAGTCAGACTGTCCTGAGCTGGAGCCCAGACAGGAACATATCTTAAGGCTCCTTCCAGGGACATCCAGCCAGGGCTGAGGACAGCTGAAGGGGAGGGTGCCCCTGCATTCTGTCAGCAGGAACTGCCTAAAATGCGATCCTGTGGAGAGTTACTCCAGCCTGATGGAGAAGCACCCCCAAAGGATAAATGGAAGCCCTACAGAAAGGTGGGCCAGGCCTTTCTGTGGGACCACAATCCACGTAAAGTTAATGGGAAGTCTGGAAAAGCTGTGTGAAGTCTCTCCAGTTCTGCATACACTTGAAATTTTTCTATACTAAAAAGCTGAAAATTTTTAGGATATATACACATACTCCTAATCGTTAAGAGCCAGTAATCCATTACTTATTAATTTACCTAAAATCAGATTAAAATTATATTAGTATACAGTTCATAAATTCACTCTGCAAGGGTTAAGTTTTGCTGTTTTTTAAAACATATATATATATATTTTTTTACAGGGGCGGACACAGCACACTAGCCCCCAGGTCCCACCAGAGGCTATGTCACACACACAAGAGGCACTGGGCCACTAAATTCTCCACACAGCTCAGCTCCCTAACAGTCTACTGACCGATTCTCCTCCAACTTCCGCCTTTCTCACAAATGTGGATAAATGAACTGGCTGTGAATGGTCACCTCTATGGGAAAGTCCTCCATTTACGGACTCCCTGGAAGCTTAAGACAGGAGGCTGAAGCCTGTGGACAACTAAAGCATGTGCCGTTCTGTAAGCGTCTAGAGAAACCAGTGATTTACACTTTGCTGAATCTGCTTTTGTTCACCAAGCCAAAATTTCCGGCGCGTGTAGATGGCACTGAGATGTTTACTGAATAAAAACAATAAACGGCACACCCGGCATCTAAACACGAAGTGGTTCTGAATGTGCTATGAAAAAAGCCTGTACCATCAGCATACCAGGGCAGAGCCACTCGTCACTTAGTGCAGAGAGGTTGTATGCACCAGAAAACATTCTGCCATGCTGCAGAAATCGATCATTAGCTAGTACAAGTGGCCTAAAAGGAGTGATGTCCATACATATGATGGACAATGAGGAGTACTGTCATAGAATGTATCTTTAGCAACCCAAAAGTAACTTTTATTTAAAATGAAGAGCTTGTACCAAAAGTAGGGTGTGTATGTTTTAAGATATACACTGTATATGTGTTTGGGTGATAAATATATAATATTGTAGTGACCCGATGATTTTTAAACTAGGAATTGAGAACATAAACATTTAGTCAATAAACATTGCAAGTAATAAAAATCCTCTTTACTGCTATTTTGAGTAAGAGACTGATGAAAATTCATGGCTGACAACATTAGGTCACATAAAAACCCTGAAAAACCAATTTCTAAATTTTTATTGTCCTTTCAAGAAAGAGTTTAAAGTAGGCTTGTTTTTCCATCTAAAGCTCATAAACACAGGTAACGAGTATCACAAATGCCTCTCTGTTCAGGATTCTCTGAGACCGCCTGAAAGGACACAGGAGCCGAGTCTGAGAGCTGCGCTCCTGAGGGTCTGGGCCGCGCCTCGGGTGCTGCTTCCTCCACACGGGCCTCCTCGCGGTGCCTGCATCTCGCAGCGCGGTGCCTGCATCTCGCAGGGCGGCAAGCACCCCGACTCCGCCCTCGTGGGGAGCACCTCCAGTCCTAAGGCTGCCCAGCATGGAACGGTGCTCCTCTTCTTCAGCGTTAATCGGCGCTCACAGTCCTGCAACACTCGCGAGAAGGGGAGCCCCACACGGGCCCCGGCCACCAAGCAGCCTCAGGATGGGAGACAGACTGCAGAGGACCCGCACAGAGCAGGCAGAGGACGAGCACTTCCTGAGTCAACGAGGAGGGTGATACAGGGCATGATTCCGGTGCAGGCAGGGATTAGGACAGAAGCCCAACTTTTAGGAAACACTGCTACCATCTGCTCACACAAGTGGGGGGGAAGGCCCGAGCAGGCTCTAGAGTCACTTAGGTTCACAACGGGACAGCATTTATACCCCCTATAGCTACAAATGAGGGAACACACTTCAAAACAGCAATGTCCAAGGCACCCCAGGTTCTTAATCACCAGAGTCTTGGTATCATTCACCATGTCCTACCCAGGGAGGATGACAGAGCTGTTCTGGAATGTCTCCCAGCTGACAAGAAGTACACCAGGTCTGTTTCCCTCGATCTCCCTCAAGGTAAACATCACTGTTCTCACTGGTCACACACGGAGTGCTGCTTCCAGGACTTCCCATCCTGGGGGGTCTAAAGCATGAACTTCACACGGCCTCGTAGGCAGGAGCTTACTCTTAACATCCAACCTAATGATTTTCAGCAGGGCTGGAAACAAAGGAACTGACCATCACTCAGTCGCATCATTTTAAATAAATGGTTACTGTAATACGCTGCTTTGACTTTTTCCTGAAAATCATGCTGAGGACTCAAGCCTTAAATAAGTAAAAAGTTTTTTTATTTTGTAAGAAACAGTGCTGCTTTTCTTCCAATTGCGAGAACAATTATTTTCTTTCAAAACAACACTAGGAAAAGCTATTCTCGGGAAAATTCTAAATCCCAGAGTTACTCCAGTTAACACTAGGAAACAGTCAACCTACTAATTTCTAGGCTGTGGCCAGAAACATATTTTTACACCTATTCTGACACACAGACACAGAAGAAAAAAGATGAAAGTTCAGAACCAACCCAAACGGAACCCACCCATTTATTTAGAAGTCTTCTACAACTTACACATAATAGTTAACAGCACTGAAAAGACATCCCCAAATTGTTAGTACTCAGTTATGTAAACTTAAAAATACCATCAAGTCAAATGAGGACTTTTAGAAACATCCTGCCTTAATTTAAGGAAATCACTAGTCATCTGTGGATGGCAGATTCCATCCACTCAAAGAAAGGAAATCCACCTTGTAAACGAATTTCTCTAGGGCAGCACAGTTCCCTTTGAAATTCCTTACACACTAGTGTGTTTAGACATGACCTT